ATCATCATCATCATCATCATCATCATCATCATCATCATCATCATCATCATCATCATCATCATCATCATCATCATCATCATCATCATCATCATCATCATCATCATCATCATCGTGATCATCATCCTCGGCATCCTCATCACCATCACACACGTCATCGCCGAAATCCGCGGACCCCTTGGGGTCACGGCGTGTGAGATGCTTCCCCCTCCCCGAACCCCTCCCCCGGGGGCCTGGTCCGGCCGGTTTGAAGGGCGGGGGGGGGGGGCAAATCCATCATCCGCACACTTGGAGCCTCAGGAGGCCCCAAAACGGGCCAAAAAGGTTCCAAAGGTTCCCGGAACGGTCCAAGAGAGCTACGAACCGACGAAAGATCGCCCCAAAACGCGAAAGATTGCCTCCACACGGCTCAATAAGTCCCCAAGACGTTTGAAACATCATCACGAGGCGCCCCAAAGAGGCCCTCCAGAAGCAAGAATCGTCCCCAAGAAACGTACATTTTCACCACTTTCGCAATTCGGCTTCCACGCGGCGCAAAAAACGGCCCAAGAAACCTCCAAGATCGACCCTCGCCAGCCCAAAATGCTCCCAAAAAGGTTCCAAGACGGCGTCCGGGCGATCCACGAAGGCCCCAGAAACCATCGCAACGGCTTAGGAAAGTCGCAGGACGGTCCCAAGAGGGCTCCAAAACGGGCCAAGAGGGCTCCCAAAGGCTGTCCAGACGGCCCACGCGGGGGGACGATTCGGTCCAAACCGCCCAAGATCGCCGCCAAACGGCCCCATGGGCGTCCAAGACGTTTGCATACGCGGCCTCGAGGCGCTCAAAGCAGGCCTCCAGAAGCAAAAAACCGTCCCATTCCTTTGAGAAAACGTACATATTCAGCACCTTTGCTTCTTAGGCTTTCACGAGGCCCACAACGGCCCAAGAAACCTCCAAGATCGACCCCTGTCACGCGAAGAGGCCCCCAAGAAGGCTCCAAGACGGCTTCCGGGCGATCCACGAAGGCTCCAGAAACCACAGCAACGGCCCAGGAAAGCCGCAGGACGGTCCAAAGAGGGCTCCAAACGGGCCAAGAGGGCTCCCAAAGGCTGTCCGGACGGCCCACGCGGGGGACGATTCGGTCCAAACCGCCCAAGATTGCCTCCAGACAGCCCCATGGGCGTCCAAGACGTTTGCATACGTGACAACGAGGCGCTCCAAGCAGGCCTCCAGAAGCAAAAACCGTCCCATTCCCTTGGGGAAACGTACAGGTTCAGCAGATTCGCTATTTTCAACATATTCGCTTCTTGGGCTTCCACGAGACCCACAACGGCCCAGTAAACCTCCAAGATCGACCTCTGGCACCCCAAGAGACTCTCCAAAAGGCTCCACGACGGCCTCGGGGCGCCCCACGAAGGTCCCAGAAACCATAGCAACGGCCCAGGGGCACGGTAGGACGGTCCTAAGAGGGCTCCAAAACGTGTCCAGGCGTAAGCCAATGAATCATCGCCGCCTGCAGCATCACCATCACCATCCTCATCATCATCATCATCATCATCATCATCATCATCATCATCATCCTCCTCCTCCTCCTCCTCCTCCTCTCATCATCATCATCATCATCATCATCATCATCATCATCATCATCATCATCATCATCATCATCATCATCATCATCATCATCATCATCATCATCCTCCTCCTCCTCCTCCTCTCCTCCTCCTCCTCATCCTCATCCTCATCATCATCATCATCATCATCATCATCATCATCATCATCATCATCATCATCATCATCATCATCATCATCATCATCATCATCATCATCATCATCATCATCTTCATCATCATCGTCATTGCCGTCACCATCGTCGAAATACTCATCATCAAAATCATCTGCAACATCGCTATCAACATAACCACCAAAATCATCACCAACAACATCAACTCGTAACAACCATCACTAATATTATCCATCATCCTATTCAGAACCGTCATCACATGAATATCAGCATCGCCATAAGCTCCACAACTGTCCATTTCATCGCCACATCCAACACAATCATCGTTGTCCGCATCATCATCAGCATCATCATCATCCTCATCATCATCAGCATCGGCATCATCGCCCTCGACAGCATCAGCATTAGCATCATCATCAGCAGCATGGTCATCATCATCATCATCATCATCATCATCATCATCATCATCATCATCATGTTTAGCATCATCAGCATGAGCATCATTACCATCATCAGCATCGTCACCATCATAACCATCATCACCATCATCATCATGATCATAATCACCACCATCACCATCATCGTCATCCTCATCAACAGCAGCATCAGCATCATCATCTGATGGATCATCAGCATCATAATCAGCATCAGCATCATCATCTTCATAACCTTCCCTCGGCCTCACATCCTCATCCGCTCTCCTGCTCGCCACGTTCATTGCCCCAACTCTCCGATCACACATGTATGCGCGCTCCTTCCAATACTCGCTCCTCCATCCTCACTCTTCTTCACTGCTCCTTCACCCCTCCACCTCACAACCACCACAACTCCTCTTCACTCTTCACTCCTCGCGCCTCTTCCTCCTCCTCCTCCTCTTTTCCACTCGTCCCCTCCTCCTCCTCCTCGTCCTCTCGTCCCTCGTTCCCTCCTCCTCCCCCTTCTTCACCTCTTCTCCTCCTCCTCCTGCTGTCTCGTGCCGTCCTCCTCTCTTTCCTACGTCGTTCCCTCCTCCTCCCCCTCCTGACGAGAGCCTTGAGCTCTCGACCGTGGTTGCGAGGGCCGTTGGGTTGAGCCTCGAGGATGTCAGGCACCGCTCGTGGGCGCAGGCGACTCCACAGACAAGACAGACAGTCAGATCTCCAAGGGCCCGGTGCTAGCCGAGCAGAGGCCAGGACAGTGCGCCGCGACCGAGCAAGTCGGCACGAAGACGAAGAAGCCGAAGAAGACAACAAATGTGATAAACCCACCAGGTATGGCCGAGTTCGATTTCGACATCGAGGACCCTGCCCAACTTGAGCTTCAAGTAGTGCAGGACATCCTGGTGAGGCAGTACGGCGACCGAGACGGCACCCTATAGGGGGGTCCACCTGCCCACAAGCTACCCAAGGAAAAAGAGCAGCATTATTAAGAAGTGTCTCAGGTCGGTGCGGATTTCTTGGATCGGCGCTGGACTCCACTCCATAGGCTCCACCCCACTCCATGCGCTCCGCGCTGGATCGCCGCCCAGGAGACCCAACACCGATCCAAACAATCCGCTCAGTAAATTTACCTGCATGCCGTGTTTTTCCTTCGAGTTACTTGACGCCCGATGGGACTGAAGAGCAGTGAAAGCGCGCGGTGCTCTAGTTAGCAGCAGCAGCAGCAGCATTGCCTCACAGAGCTGGCTTCTGTCGTTGGGTGAAGGTCGGCGGATTTCGGAGTTCGTTGTGGTTCGGTTTCGGTCCCCGAGTTTGCAGCGCACTCGCGTGGTCATGGCGAGGTGAGCGATTCGGCCTAACGACGCGACTCCTGGTGCCGCAAGTTCTGTAGGCATGCAGCCCCTCCTCCTCATACTCGTCCTTCTCCTCCTCCTCCTCCTCCTCCTCCTCCTCCTCCACCTCCGCCTCCGCCTCCCTCCTCCTCCTCCTCCTCCTCATCCTCCTCCTCACTCCCTCCTCCTCCTCACTCCCTCCTCCTCCTCCTCCTCCTCCTCCTCCTCCTCCTCTCCTCCTCCTCCTCCTCCTCCTCCTCCTCCTCCTCCTCCTCCTCCTCCTCCTCCTCCTCTCTCCTCCTCCTCCTCCTCCCCTGCTCCTCCTCCTCCTCCTCCTCCTCCTCCTCCTCCTCCTCCTCCTCCTCCTCCTCCTCCTCCTCCTCCTCCTCCTCCTCCTCCATTCCTTCTCATTATAGATACATCCTCCCTGTCGCGCCCCGAGTCCAATTTTGAGGGCGGGCCGGGCATTTCGCCTGAGACTTCCTCACCATTTACGATTCTGAACCTCCAAAAGTGACAACAGCTTCACGGATGGAGGGCGGGTCGCTTTCAAAATGTGGCTCTCGCCGTAGCGTCGCGCACATTCGTTTAAAAAATGCAAGGGTTTCACGGATGGAGGGCAGGTCGTTTTCAACACGTGGCTCTCGCCTCAGCGCCGCGCACACTCGTTGTACAAATGTTCAAGAGCTTCACGGCTTGAGGGCGGGTCGTTTTCAACATGTGGCTCTCGCCTTAGCGCCGCGCACATTCGTTTTAAACATTTGCAAGGGTTTCACAGATTGAGGGCGGGTCGTTTTCAACATGTGGCTCTCGCCTGAGCGACGCGCACACTCGTCATAAACATGTGCACGAGTTTCATGAAATGAGGGCGGGTCGTTTTCGACATGTGGCTCTCGCCTTAACGCCGCGCACAGTCGTCTTAAACATGTGCAAGCGTTTCACGGATGGAGGGCGGGGCGGCTCCTCTTCAGAATGTGGCTCTCGCCTTAGCGCCGCGCACATTCGCTTTTTACACTTTGCAAGAGGTTCACGGATTCCCATAATCAGCGCACCAGAAATGGTGTTCTGGAAGGAGTCAGGACTATGCGGGCGCAACGGTTACGGTGACTCGCCGTGTTGAAGTCCCAAGAATGGAGTTCTGGCACGATTCTGGATCGTCAACACGAAGCAGTCAGGTTGATACGTGGCGTTGAAATCCCGAGAACAATGTTTTGGCACGCCTTCAGAATCTTCAAACTGTTGTCTTCCAACGAGGCAAACCCCTCAATGGAAATGAACCGTTGTAGGGGGCTATGAGAGAGGAAGCTTGGAGGGAGGGTGAATTCCAACATCGCTGATGACTCTTGGGTTTCCACTGGTCCTCCTCCTCCTCTTCCTCCTCCTCCTTGTCCTCCTCCTCCTACTTGCTCCTCCTCCTCCTCCTCCTCCTCCTCCTCCTCCTACTTGCTCATCCTCCTCCGTCTCCTCCCTCGCCCCCGCCGTCGCCAGCGACAGCAGTGGGGCACGGCCGTGGACGGCGCGGGAGCGGGCACCTGGTACTCCAGCCGCATGCCCGCGATGATCATGGCCACCTCGCCGCCGTGGGGGGGGGGGGGGCGATCCAAAACGGACGAAGGCAATAGAGGACGAGGACGAGGACGACAGAGGACGATCCAAGGACGTGGACGAGGACGAGGGGGGAACCAACGACTGCATAAACTGGGCGGGGTCCAAGAAACCCGCGCGGACCTCCGAGAAAGTCTGTGTGTGCCGTTGCTGCTCGTCGAGAGGAGAAGGAGGAAGAGGAAGAGGGAAAAGGAGGAGGAGGGAGGTGGTGGATGTGGAGGGAGGAGAAGGGAGGAGGAGGAGGAGGAGGAGGAGGAGGAGGAGAGGAGGAGGAGGAGGGAGGGAGGAGGAGGGAGGTGGAGGAGGAGGAGTGGAAGGAGGTGGAAGAGGAGGAGGACGAAATACGGAGGATAGAGGATGGAGGGAGACGGAGGCCACCTCGCAAGGAGGGCGAGGGGGGCAAGGAGGACGAGTGGGGCACGATGATGGCTGATGCGAGCCCTCGTGCCTCTGGAGTGCCGTGGCCCTCGACCCCCCTCCAGCTGAAGAAAAACGGGGAGCGGGTGACGCGAGAACTCCTCCTCCTCCTCCTCCTCCACCTCCTCCTCCTCCTCCTCCTCCTCCTCCCCATCTTCCTCCTCCCTCCTCCTCCTCCTCCTCCTCCTCCTCCTCCTCCTCCTCCTCCTCCTCCTCCTCCTCCTCCTCCTCCTCCTCCTCCTCTGTCTGCGCCTCCGTCTACGCCTCCTTATCTTCCTCCTCCTTCCTGATAGAGGGTGGCCCTCAAAAGCATACTGGTCTCAATTGCGTGCATCTATGCACCGTCAGAGGACCGTCAGGGGAATCATGACTGGGGGGCCATCGATGCCAAGTGAGAATTGCCCTGGCGTTCCCCGACCAGGGCCACGTGTGTGCTAGATGCGGCGTTGCTCCAGGTACGCTGTTCGATCGGTTTGTTTATATTGCAATGCCTAGGCAGGCCAGCGGCAGGTTCTCATGCCGCATGACCTCAAGCAACCACTTGAGAGAGTGAGTGCCAGCACGCCAGCACATCAGGAAAGGTTCGCCAGAGGGCGATTGACCCATACCGGTCAGGCCGTCTTCAGTTCGCCGAGGAGTGATGTGCACGACTTCGTCGATGTCGATGGCAGCCTATGCGGATGAGGGGTTCGTGTTTGTTGAGGGCAGCGGGTGCCTACTCATCCCGATCTACGTGTGGCTGGGTGGCCAGCCATGGCTTACAGCGCAGACCGTGTCAGGAGTGCTGGGTTCAGAGGCTCTGTGCCCCCTTTTCTTAGGTTGCAAGGGCACGGTTGACCGCAACGGGCGCTTGGACTTGGCGAAAGGCCCTCAGTGCCAGCGGGCCCACATTTGGAAGAATGTTGGGTTGGTGGAGGATTTCAAAGATCAATGTGTTCGACATGTCAAGACACAAGCCTCGATGAACGCCGTGAAAGAATGGAGATTCAGCCGCTTCGAGAAGGATGGCAATGAGCAGGCGGAAGAGCAAGCCAAAGAAGGAACCAAGCCTCATCTCCCTCCAGAGCTGCAATCGTTGATGTGGCAAGGCTGCGCCAGGCTGCACACGTTGCTACTGGAGTACATTGCCAACTTCGAGATGCGGTTCCACGAGCTGGAAGATGGTTTCAAGGACTGAGCTTTCCATGAGGCTGGTGATTATGAGGTGTTAGAAAAGGCAGTAACCCAAAAAGAATATTAGTCTAATCCTTGGCTTGTGGGCGGACACGCTCTGTCCAAAACATGTGATCGAATACAGCAGCGATTATTTGGTGTTCTGCACATCTTGCTGCAACTACTTCGAAACTTCGCCGAAGGCAACCAAGGGTCCGCATTAGGTGTGGCATGGGCGAAGGATGTCACGAGGGAGAGATATGGAAAACCCCGGGCATTTCTGCAACCTCAGGCACCCGCAAAGCACTACGAAGGAAGTAAAGCTGCAGCCACCCCGATGCCCGTCGATTGCCACGAAAAGATCATGTGCCAGACCAAGAAATGGGCTGACACGTTGGTGGATTATGTGGTGGCTGCTCCAGTGGAAGAGCAGCAAACATTGATTTCGTTCAAGTACTCAGATGCGCCGAGAATTCTGAAGGAATGAGGGATGGACATGGACGAGGTTACCATCCAGGGTCGTGTCCAAGTCGAAGAGGCAAGCAATGATGATGATGACGATGATGACGATGATGATGATGATGATGATGATGCTGATGACGATAATGGTGGTGATGATGGTGGTGGTGACGATGATGAAGGTGCTCATGTTGATGCTGATGCTGATGACGATGCTGATGCTGATGCTGATGCTGATGCTGATGCTGGTGCTGATGTTGATGGTAATGATGGTGATGATGATGATGATGAGGATGATGATGATGATGACGATGATGATGATGATGATCATGTGCATGTTGATGATGATGATGAGGATGATGGTGATGATGACGAGGATGAGGATTAGGATGAGGATGAGGATGGTGATGACGATGACGATGACGATGGCGATGACGATGATGATGCTGATGATGCTGATGATGATGATGATGATGAACACGCGTCACGCGTTGTGAGCACGCCCATGTGGCAACGGACTGGAAGTTATGTTGCTTAGGCCACGTTCATATGCGACAGGTGGTCCCGAGTACGTCTTGCTGTCTGACTGGTGCGGTGCCTGATCCCTGGTCACATTCATACTCAAATCCTGGCGTCACGCCAGGATCGGGACGCGGCAGGTGTGTCCCTTCCTGGGCCCCAGGGGGTAGCGAGGTTCTCGCCCTGGGATTCCCGTGTGCTTGGGCCACCCAGCCTCATGCTGCTGGACTGCAGCGCGGTGCCGAGTTGCTGGACATCAGTGGCGCCCTGTGCTGCAGTGTGGCCCTGCCCCTCGCTGACGCGATGGAGTTCGGGGGAGTGCTGCTCGCCGGCAGCGCCGCCTGCACCATCGGCTCCCTCCGCTCCGACGTCGTCGACTGCGAGGGCGCCCTCAGAGTGGGCACGGGCCCGGCGCAGGCTCCGTGCTCCCTGCCGCGGCCCGCGGCGGAGGCCCCCGTGCCACGGCGTTCACGGGCACCCCGCCTGGGAGACCGCCTCCGGCAGTGCGGACGGCTTCGGGCCCCTCCCTTTCTGGAACTGGTGGTCCAGGCTGGGAAGCTTGAGAGCCCGTCCGTCTCACAAACGCCTCTCGGCTGTTCGCTCGCTGACTCGCTCCCTCCTCCTCCTCCTCCTCCTCCTCCTCCTCCGACTCGTCCTCCTCCTCCCTCTGCCGGGAGGATGGTGCCCAGAAGGCGTGCAGGGATCGACTTCCCACAGCTGCCATCTAGGCGCAATGAACAAAAAGCAGCACAGACACGCAAAGCACGCACGTGTTCGCGCCGCGTCGGTGCCCCGCGACTGGGTCGCCAGCCCCGGGTGGTGATTTCACCAAAACGGCACGTTCTTCAATCCGCGAATGTTAGTGTTCCCTTAGTCCTTGCCAATATTGACTGCTCATGCCCCCTCGTTGTGCCGTCTCTCTCTCTCTCTCTTTCTCTGTCCTCTATCTCTTATGTCTCTCTCTCTCTCTCTCTCTCTCTCTCGCTCTCTCTTTCTCTCTCTCTCTCTCTCTCTCTCTCTCTCTCATTCTCTCGCTCTGTATATGCATATATATATATATATATATCCGCCAGCCCCTTGCGGGGCCACCAGGCTGCGAGGATGAGGACTGCAGCTCCCTGTACCAGTTGCAGCTTCCAGTTTCCATTCTTACAGTCCTGTTGTCTGCTTCCTTACTGCTAATTGTTGCTGAACGCGTGAGGGGGGGAGCCCCAAACCAGCTTGTTACCACGCCCAATCGCGTTGTCTGAATTCAATGGGGGGGGCGTGGGACACGCAAAAATACTTGATAGTTGCGTCTACGGGGCCATAATCCCAGGTAGTTTACGCCATGTTCGCGTCCCCGAGGCCATAAACCAAAGAAAATGTTGTAATGTTCGCATCCCAGATGCCCTCATTCCTGGTATATTACACAACAGTCGCGTAGCCGAAAACATAAACCCACATAATGTACCCAATGTTCGCGCCCCAGAGACCAGAAACCATGTAAATTATATAATGTTCGCGCCCCCGAAACCATAAGCCTTCGAACATTACAAATGATTCGCGTCCCCAGGGTCATAAACCTTCGAGAGTTATATAATATTCGCGTCCCCAGGGCCATAAACCCTTGCACATTACTCCGTAGTTGCGTCCCCGAGGCTACAAACCCTGGCAAATTATACAATAGTCGCATCCCCGAGGCAATCAACCTACGTAAAGTATACCATAGTTGCGCCCCCGAGGCGATCAAACCTTGTAAATTACACAAGAATTGCGTCCCCGAGGACACAAACCCTGTTAAATTATGAATAATCGCGCCCCCGAAGCCATGAACCATCGTAAATGACCTTATATTCGCGCCACCGAAGCCACTAACCCTCGTGAATGAATATTGGCCCTCGCGTGAAGACCCGACATTGCTTCACGTCAGCGTCCAGACATCCCAACACAGCTCTGGCAAGTCCCATTCTAAAAGAGGGGGGCCAGCGGCAGGGGGGCGAAGCCCTGACTGCTATATATATATATATATACATATGTAATGTATGTACACATGTAAATGTGCATAGCCGGACTTGCCGCGCACCATGAGCCACCTGTACAACGTAGTCCAAACATCCCGTCTGACCTCCCGCGGTCGCATCCTCCCCACCTCCCTCGCTCCATTGCTGGCTCCCTCGTCGCCTCTCTCTCTCTCTCTCTCTCTCCCTGCCTCATCCACGCGGTGAGCACGAACACGATCGAAGGTCATCATTGTCATTCCCTTCCGTTTCCTCGCTCACTCCTACCCCCTTCGCCATCTGTCTAATCATCCCCCGCACCTCTCCCCCATTCCAGCCCTGCTACACTGACGTGCAAGACGAATGTGCGCGGCACAAAATAAGTCAACGATAGGCTCCCGATGTGCTGGGCCCCCAGCTGGCTGTTGGTGCACCTCTGAGGCCCCTGACCCTGGAGGCCCGGGAGGCGCCGTGGCCCCCACCCCTAGCGGGTACAAAGCAGAGAACGCTACGGAGGCGCCAGGCGCCAGCCTCCCTCAGTTCCTGCCCCCTGCCTCCTCTGACCCTGGGGCGGAAGCTGCAGAGGTGATGACTAACTACAAAGAGGATGTCTCTCACACGGCACACCGCTCCGAGGACATCCCCAGGAGGGGCGGGCCGTATTCCCACGAGGCCCTCGGGTCTCATGAACGGGGCGGAAACTGCTGTCACGTTCTTCACGACGCCCCGATGCCAGAGTCCGCTGATAGAAGACGGGCGCCCATTCGATCTCTTGACCCCGCCAGGGCATCATCCTGGCCAGCTCTCCGGGCAGCGTCCAGCCGCGGCGACGAGGGGCCGCCATGGAAGCCGAAGATCGATGATCCTCAGAACGCGTGTTCGCGCCAATCCGCCTCCTTCCGTTCTCTGCGGCCGCCCTGTCTGTCTCGTTTTCCCCCTCTTGCATTCTGGCCATTCTGCCATTCAGTTGCCCCGACACCGCAACACGCCGGTGCGGACCGCCTCCGGCCCGCCGCCCACGAAAAAGCGGCTTCGCGCCAGGTGTGCGCTTCTCCCTCGGAGCCCCGCGGTGCGGCGGGGGCGGTGGAGGGAGGGCCGACGCAGGCCGCGTGCTGTCGGTGGAGCTGCGCGGGGCACGCACACATTGGGCTAGCACGCGTCCTGAGGATCCTCGCGAAGAGCTCGAGGATCGCGAAGAACCGCCGTCGTCGTCGTCGTCGTCGCCGTCTTCGCCGCCGTCGTCGTCGTCGTCGTCGTCGTCGTGCTCTTCGCGAGGATCCTCCCTGGTGGCGGAAGTCCTGGTCGAGGCTCGGGGCCTGCAGCGGCGGCCACCTGCAGGAAAGGCTGCTGCCAGGGCGCGGGCCGTCGGCCGCGCGCTGTGCCGCAGCCTGCCCCTGAGCATCTCTGCCGGCCGAGCTCGGGAGGGGAGGGCGAGGTGGGGAGGGCGAGGCGGGGAGGGCCGTCGGCGCCTCCTCCTCCTCCTCCTCCTCCTCCTCCTCCTCCTCCTCCTCCTCCTCCTCCTCCTCCTCCTGCCCTTGACCACCTGGGCGGGGAAAAAGAGCGGGGAGGCGGAGCTGGAGAGGGCCGAGGTTCCAGGGTCGGGTCCCCCCCCTCCTGGTCTCACCACGGCCCACCAAAAGGACTCCTCACGGAGGATCCCTGCGAGCTTCGCGGGGGGAGAAATGTGACCCTGGAAGCACAGCTGGCGGGGTCCTGGCCGCCCGGGATGGCGACGGCGACGACGGCGACAACAGCGACGACGACGACGACGACGACGACGACGACGCCGCCGCCGCCGCCGCCGCCGCCGCCGCCGCCGCCGACGACGACGACGACGACGACGACCGCGCGGTGCGGCCTTGGGAACGTCTGGCGCGTGATTCTCGAGGGCCCTGCCCAGCATGATGGTCATGTCGATGTACTCCTGGTGGTTCTTGCCTTGCCCACGCCCCCCAGGAACAGGGCGGGGGAAGAAGGGAGGGAGGGAAGCAGGAGTCTGCCTCCTCCTTCTCCTTCTCCTCCTCCTCCTCCTCCTCCTCCTCCTCCTCCTCCTCATCCTCATCATCCTCATCATCCTCATCATCCTCATCATCATCATCATCATCATCATCATCATCATCATCATCATCATCATCATCATCATCATCATCATCATCATCATCATCATCATCATCAGCATCATCAGCATCATCATCATCATCATCATCATCATCATCATCATCATCATCATCATCATCATCAGCATCATCATCATCATCATCATCATCATCATCATCCTCATCATCCTCATCATCCTCATCATCATCATCATCAGAAGCAGCAGCATCAGCATCATCCTCATCCTAATCATCGTCATCATCATCAGCATCCTCATCATCAGCATCATCATCAGAAGCATCATCGGCAGCATCATCATCCTCATCCTCAGCATCATTATCAGCATCATTATCAGCAGCATAATCATCATTATCAGCATCATCAGCATCAGCATCATCAGCATCAGCATCATCGCCATCATCATCGTCATCATCATCGGCATCATCATTATCAGAAGCAGCATCATCATCAGCATCAACATCCTCATCATCATCATCATCATCATCATCATCATCATCATCATCATCATCATCATCATCATCATCATCATCATCATCATCATCATTAGCATTATCATCATCGTCATCCACATTCTCATTCTTCTTTTTTGCGTATGCACGCCCCTCGTCGGGTTGCTTGGAAAGTACAATGAAACTAACAAACTTACTTACGTCATCATGCATTCACTCCCTGCATTCATGGAGGGCCGAACGCGAAGATTGCATGAACTTGCCGAGCACGCCCTGCTGCAAGACTCGAAGCCCGTCGGAGTTTTGAAAACAGTAGCCCCGGCACCGGCACCATGCACGAAGCCCCCGTCAGTGCACACCTGCACGCCAACGGCGCGTGATATTTCAAAATAAATTCTTCCTGTCGCACCCCTAGACGTGTCGGTAGGGCGGGCTGGGCGTTTCGCATGATACCCCATCGCCACATATGATCCTGAAGCTTGGAACAGCATCATGAATCATCATCATCAGCATCATCATCATGATCATCATCATCGTCAGTATCATCATCATCATCATCATCATCATCATCATCATCAGCATCATCATCATCATCATCATCACCATCAGCAGCATCAGTATCACACTCATCGGCATCGGCATCAGCATCAACATCAACATCATCATTATCATCGTCATCATCATCATCATCATCATCATCGTCATCATCATCATCATCATCATCATCATCATCATCATCATCATCATTACCACCATCACCACCACCGTCATCATCATCAGCACTACCATCACTCCTCCTCATCCTCATCATCATCATCAGCACCAGCATCATCTTCGTCTTCATCGTCATCGTCAGCGTCATCGTCGCCATCATCACCATCACCATAATCAGCATCAGAAGCAGCAGAAGCAGCAAAATCATCATCTGAATTATCATCATCAGCATCACTCACTGTCATCATACTCATCATCACCACTCTCATCACCACCGTCATGATCATCATCGTCATCGTCATCATCATCAGCAGTATCACCCTAGTCGTCGGCATGGTCATTAGCAGCAGCAGCACCATCATCACCATCATCACCATCATTTGTTCTATCATCATAATCATCCTCCTCATCATAAGCATCACCAACATCACCAGCATCACCACCAGCAGCAACATCGCTACCGTCACCGTGAACATGCTCACCATCAAGAACCTCATCTTCGTCGTGATCGTCAGCAGCAGCACCATATCGTCAGCATCACCACCGTCGCCGACATCAACATCAGCACCATCAATATCATCACATTCATCAACAGCGTCATCATCCCCATCACATCCATATACAGCGTCCATGACCAGCAGCAAAGTCATCATCGTCGCCGACACCGTCATCACCAGCACCCCCACCACTATCTCCGCCAGCATCACCACCACCACCACCACCGTCACCACCACATGAGCACCACCGACACGGACACGGACCCTACACGGAGTCCCAAAGCAGAGGTCCAGGAACTGTCGAAAGGAACAAAAAAAAAACGAGAGGTCGAAGGATGGCATCACCACCACCACCCGCCTCCTCCTCCTCCTCCCCCTCCTCCTCGGCGCCGCCGCCCGCGGCGGCTCACCATCCACCAATCGCCGCCGCCCGCGGCGGCTCCCCCTCCTCCTCCTCCTCCTCCTCGTCCTCCTCCTCGCCCAATCCATCCTCCTCCTCCTCCTCCTCCTGCTCCTCCTCCTCCTTCTCCTCCTCCTCCTCCTCCTCCTCCTCGGCGCCGCCGCCCGCGGCGACTCCCAATCCACCAACCGCCGCCGCCGCCGCCGAGCTCGCCCGCGCCCGCCGGGGCCCCCTGGACGCCCCCGCCGGCATGGGTCACGATCACGGTCTGCTGCGTCGTGTCGCCCAGAAACTGGGGCTTGGTGTTGATGGGGATCCACGCGACCTTGCTCCTGGGGGGGGGGGACGGGAGGGGAACGTCCTTCTCGCGAACAGGAAGGGGTGTTCCTCTCTCCCTCTTCTTCCTCCCCCCGTTGCCCTTGAGCAACGCCTCCTTTCCCCCCCCCCTTGCCCCGCTTCGTCTCGGACCGCCCGTCCTTCCCTCGCGGTCAGGATGGCAAGAGGGGGGACGGTCTGTCGGATCGAGCATTGAGGCGGTCCTCGTGCCGTCATGGGGGAATGGCTTACACCTCGTGCGCCAGGGGCAACGGAACTCTTATTCCGCACGCCAGCCCCACAGCACAGACCAGCAGGGGCGGCGGCGGAAAGGCGTAAGCCTCTGAAGCGAAGCAACAGACTGACAGCGAGAGGGAGGGAGCAACAGCGGAGGAAAATGCCGGAAACCGAAGCAACACTACGCCCAGCTCACCTTCAAAACACCACTAAATGGAGAAAGAGGCCAATGTTGGAAAGTAACTCGTAAACCTCCGGCCAAGCTGACAGCACGATGCCTCTGGCCAAGTTATCGGACGGGAACTTTAAAGTGCCTCCGCTACCATAGTGAGGGAGGACGGGGAGGGAGGGAGGAGGGGGAGAGGGAGAGGCACGCAGGGTGTGCTCGGGCCAATGTCTGACATCCTGCATCTCCCACTCATCCCTTCCCACCGCAATGATCTCGTCTTTCTCCGCCGACGCGTGTCCTAGGGAGCCTAGAACTCAAGGACGGTTTCCATCGCGTTATGCGCCATCTGACAACTGGAGCGGCGTACTTTGAAGAGGGCGGCGGACGAGCAAGAGGATGAGCAGGAGGAAACGGAGGAGGACGACGAGGACGAACAGCAGCAGCAGCAGCAGCAGCAGCAGCAGCAGCAGCAGCAGGAGCTAGAGCGGAAGGAGCGAGAGGAACAGGAGGACCAGGAGAAGGCGAAGGAAGGGAAAGGAGAGGAGCGGCAACGATGAGGAGCGACTCGGATCCCGAAAAGTTGCCCCCCGCGCCTGGGCGAGAGCGCCAGCCTGCACGACGGGAGCGGAGCGCCGATTCCGAGAGGGGGCCCACGCTGCAGCGGGGTGCCACTCCGGAAGGAGCGAAAAACGTCGGGCCAAGAAAACGTACGAGCTCGGGCCAGTCCTGCGCGTAGAAGACAATCCGCGGGGAGGGGAGCTCGCCGCTCTCGGGACGTCTCTGGGGGAGAGGGGAGGCTGGTGCTCTTGTGGTGTAATCGCGGAGGGTGGATGGGGAGGGAATGGAAATCGGAATCGGAGAAGTTCAGAAGCAACATGGGTGGACGGGGAGGGGGAGGGGGAGGGGGAAGGGGGAGGGGGGGAAGGGGAGGAAGCGAGGGGGTGAGGTGAAAGAACTGTGAACGGTGACGTCCTGGCCGAGGCGAATGTGGTAGATGATCAGGGGGAAGGGGTAGAGAATGAGGAAGCTGGTCGAGGCTGGGGGGAGGAGGAACAACCGAACTGAAGCCATGCGCCAGCCTTTGGCACGGCGCTTGGGCACCACTGCTGTCACTGAGCTTGGTTTCTGGCACGACGCTTGGGATAAACAATCAGAGAGCAGCACGACTGCGAAGCAGAAACTTAACGGGCCCACTGCGTCCCCCTTCTCGTCCTCCCCCTCGCCTTCTTCCCTCGCCCCTGCGTCCCCAATCCGTGCGAGACTGAGGGGGACGAAGGAAAACGAAGATGACGACGAAGAAAAACAGCACTTAGGAAACAACCAGAAACATCATAATAGTGCTACGACGAAGAAGGAGAATAATAATAAGAAGAAGACGAAGAAGAAGAATAAAAAGAAGAAGAAGAATAAGAAGAAGAAGAAGAAGAAGAAGAAGAGGGGAAGGGGAGGAGAAACATTCAATGAACGCCAACCTACTCACACCATCCGATGCCACACTACCCCGCGCCCCCGCAACAGGCTTCACGCCATCCACCCCGCGAGGTCACTTGGGCCCGCGCCCGCAGTCTCAGGAATGAGAGGAGGAGCAGCAGCAACGGGAGAGGGGGAAGGGGAGGAAAGGAGGAAGAGAACATGAGAGGGAGGGAGAGGACAAAAGGTGGGGCCAGGTGAAGAGAGGGGACATGAGGAGGAGGGGGGCGGGGCAGGCAGGAGAAGCCGGAGGAGGACGGAGGAGGAGGGGATGAAGAGGAGGAGGAGCAGGAGAAGTAGGAGGAGGAGGAGGAGGAGATTTTGTTTTGAACACCGCGAGGCCGACGACCGCCTCGCACCGGGAGCCCTTTAGGGGGGGCCAATCCCGCCGCGAAGTTGAAGAACAGCGAGTACTTGGGACGAGAAGCGCAGCGTGTCCCCCACGAAGCACAGCAGGAAGCCAACCGACAACGACTTGCCCACGGAGACGAAGCCCAGGAGCCTGCAATGGCAGACCAGGCCACACCCTGGGAATAAGAGACACTAGCCCTCCTCCGCGGATAGAGCTCCCGATGAACCAAACTCCTGGCGACAAGCAACGGCACGGGCCCGCTGCGAAGCAACGCTCCAGTATGAGTTCGTCGGGTTGTCGTCCGCAACACTCGGCCACAGCCAATGAGGGTACTCCGCCCATTCATCCAGGTCCGCCTCACGTGGCGAATACACTTCGAAGTCCACTCGCCGCCGATGAAGCGGGGACCGACACTCGCGAAAGCGCTCGATCGGGATCCGTGTGTGCTTCAGCCAGAGGTGCCCATCGTCATCGTCGCGGAAATCAGGAAGGTCCAGCGAGGTCGGGCGAGGCCGAGGGCGAGGACCAGAATCAACCACCGAGCGCGAGCGCCCAAAAAGAGCCGTCAACTCCGTCATTGTCTGCTCAATGGTGTGCTGTAGCTCAGCGAACTGGCTCTTCACCACAGCGGGGACCTCAGCAGGCTGCCCACGAGGAGGATCAGGAGCAGGACGAGGAACAGAGTCGACAGGAAGATCTGCCAGACTAGCCACGCCCTCAGGAGCATCAAGAATGTCGCCATGCTCATACATCATCAAATCTACAATGTCGCTCTGGGTCTCGCTCGGCGTCAGCACGCCATCCGCACGGACTGCGGCATCAGGGCCGCCACGAAGTTGAGCACCAGTACCCTCTCGAAGACCATCCGCGTCTCCAAGTAGTTCAGAATCCAGGCCTCCATGAGCAGAAGCGCTGCCAGCACTATGAACACCAGCTTCAGGAACGGCCTTCCCATGATGATAGTCAAGCTCCTGTAAAATGACGTCCACGTCACCGCCAAGCGGCATCTTGAACTCAGGCGCATCCCGGTTCCAAGCAAACGCAGGAAAGTGAGGAACGTCAGGTAGGCAAGGGAGGGGGTCGCCACCATCTGCACATCGACGAGGTCGTTTCGCAGTGCCATAGAGTTGCCATGCACCAGCACAACCTCCACTCCATGGGTCGCTACCTCCAGGACCATGCCAGGGGTCAGGTAGGTCATGCTCCGCGCGACGGCGATGACCATACCCACCTCCGCCACCAGGGTCATCGCCACCAACCCCGCCATCGTCGTCATCATCTGGCCCAAGAGGGGGGGCGGCCGCTGGGGAAGAGAGCCATAACCCGATCTCTTGGCGCCCGTCGGAGTGGCGATGCCCTCGGTCGACCGCCACGTGCGTGCGCAGGAGGCCCTCGACGCAGATGAGGATGCTCAGCAGCACGTCCCGATTGTTGTCGCTGATGGCAGGGCCCGCTGGGTCCAGGATGATCTTGACCTTGGAGCGCCCCTGCACCGAGGCCGAGCCGACCGTGATGTGGGTGCACACCCCCTGGAGGATGTGCCGCCGAACCCACTGGAGCCGCCCTGCCACCACCATCGCCGCGCGGGAGGGGGAGGAGGAGGAGGAGGAGGAGCAGGTGCTCCCTAGAAGCTGCCAGGCCAGGCAGGTGCCTGAGCAAAAACAGCTAGGAGGAGGAGGAGATGACGAAGAGGAGGAGGACGACGAGAAAGAGCAGGGGGCGACGACAACGACGACGAGGAGGACGAGTTGAGGAGCGAAAAGAAGAGGAGGAGGACGAAGGGAGGAAGCGGACGTAACAGGCCTGAAGGTGTTCGCACGTGTTCCGCACGTGTCCACGGGCTTCGCGGGACGAGGGGAAGGGGTTAATGCAGTTTTTTTGTCGGAGGTGCCTGGGCGTGTTCTGTATGTATACGGAGGTCCCCACATTAGGCCAAACATCTGCCCGGCGAGGGCGGAAGAACCTCCTCCTGATCCTCCATTCCTTCCCGCCCTCCCTTCTCTATCCCTGAGCTGTTCCCCGTGGTTCCGTCCTTCCGTTTCTTCGTTTCCTGTGTCCCTGCGTCCCTCCCTCCCTCCCTCAATCCTTCCCTCCTTCTCTCACTTCCTCCTTGCATCCATCCCTCCCTCCCTCCTTCCCCGTTCTTCCAAATGTAGGTCCTCGTCCGTCCTCGCTCATCCTTCATCCCTCCTTCCTCCTCCCTGATCCTCCCTCGTTTTCTTCTCTCCTTCATCATTCCTCCCTGTTTCGTCCCTCCTTCATGCTCCCCCCTTCGTCCCCCTCCCTTCCTCCCCAATCCTTCCCCGTCCTCCCTGATCCTCCCTTCCCCTTTCCCCTCCTCCCTTTCCTCCCCCCCCCCTCTCCCCTCTGACCCCTCCCCCGCACTCCCCCTCACCCACCCCTTCCCCTTCCACACCTTCCCCCCCCTCCCCCCCCCCCTTCCCCGTCCCCTTTCCCACCCCACCCAACCCCCTCTCCTTCCCCCACCCTCCTCCGCCCAACGTCCCCCTCCTTCCCTCCTCCCCCATCCTTAATTCTTGCGAGTAAGCACCCCCAAACCCCCACCCAACCAGCCGATAGCAACCCCGATGTCCCAACTGAAAAAAAGACATAAACTCAATTTGTTTCTCGCAAACATGTCGTCGAATTGCGAAAACGTGCAGCCGGAATGGGACGGAATGAGCATCGCTTGTGTAACCCTAAGCGGGTGGTCGCGTCCTACCCATCAAAAACAATGCAAAACCAACGTTTTTCTCGACAACATGGGCTTTCTTGTCGCCGACGCTGCG